AATTATGGATTTTAGAAATCCATTAAAAAAGGCCCTCAAAATGCTAATTTGTCAGAGCTTCCAGAAGGTTCGCCCCACCCTCACGGAGACCCCTAGCCAATCGCCCATCGTAAGGTCCACTTCGGTTGCAAAACGCACCTCCCCAACGAAAATCCTGCCTACGGGCCTGCCCTTGCTAGGCATTATAGGGTAGGCTTTATGTAGGCTGAGATTTGCAACAAGGTCTTGGACTAGGCCTCTATACTATAGTAGGAGGCCTGGTCCTAGTCTAGGCCTATAATATAGTAAAATTCTGTATAAGTAGTCATTATGATTACAGTTTTACATTGTACCACGGTCAATATTAACGATCGCATTTATTTTTCATTGAAAAAAAACAAAACAAAACAAAACTTAAAAAAAATTAACTTAAGGATTTTAAAATATTCAAAAAAACTGTACACTTCAATAAAAAAAATTAAGTTAACTTAAAACACAAACAGCGCGATAGGATATGAAGTTTGCGAGAATAATTGGTATACTTGTACTGTATTTTCTCAAGCGCCGTTCGTTTTTGGGGTTGCTACAATTAACAGTTGTTACATCAGTGGCGTCACGCTCGGGCGCTGACGGAAGGGAGGGGGAACGCCAGGGCCCCAAGTGCGAGCCCCCCCTCCCCGAAATTGTTTAAACAAAATATAATATAAACTATATAATACCGTAGTTTCATTCAATGGGGCCCGACAGTTTTAAACAATAAAAGCTGGGTTCTGATGTTTGAGATCGTGCTTCTGATTTTGTGATCAATCTGCTTGATTAAGTTTTCAATCTCCAGCAAATTTTAAATAGCATCCAAAATCCTCCTTTTTGGAATGTAAGGAAATAGATAGTGCTTTTCCTTTGTTGGATCGATTGTAACTCCTGATTGTAGCAACCCTAAAACGAACGGCACTTCAGAAATACAGTACAGTAAACCAATTATTCTCTCAAACTTTATATCCTATCGTGTTGTTTGTGTTTTAAGTTTAATAACTTTATTTATTTATTTATTTTTTTTTTTAAGCGTACAGGTTTGGAATATTTTAAAATCCTTAAGGGGTCATCCATTATTTTTATCATTTTCACGCGCGTACAAAACGTACGCTGTGGGGAGGGGGTTGAAAGTGTGTGTACGCTTTTCAAAAAGTACAAAAAATAACGATTTGGAAATGTTAGCCTACGTTTTTGTACCTAGCAATTCACGAGTAAATGTTAAGTTTATCAATTGTTTATATACCTTGCATCCCTGATTAGCGATGTGTTGGTTAAAGCATATTGTGTACTTATAAACAATTTCGAAATACAAGGGAAATGCACTCTAGCCAGGGGCGGATCCAGGATATGAAAGAGAATAGTTTAAAATGTCTAAAAAAAACAACAACCAAACATTAAAAGGGGTCCTGGGAACTTCCCCGGGGAAATTTGGATTCCTAGATGGCCGGAAATGAGCTTTCCCGACTTCTGAGGAGTTTTTAATGACCTTTAAGTTCTTCAAAATTCAGGTAATTTTATCTCATTCTTTAGGCCATTATATAGAGAAAAACATCAAAGACATAAGCAATATATTGTTACATTCCAACAATATTGCGTAGAACGCACTTTTAAATACATTATTACGACATTGAACCAAAAACAGTTTGTATAATTTTTGTATAATTCTGTCTCTTATACACATCTAGATGTGTATAAGAGACAGGTTTTTAATGACCTTTAAGTTCTTCAAAATTCAAGGTTTTCTCCTCTTGAAAAAGATCAGGTAATTTTATCTCATTCTTTAGGCCATTATATAGAGAAAAACATCAAAGACATAAACAATATATTGTTACATTCCAACAATATTGCGTAGAACGCACTTTTAAATACATTATTACGACATTGAACCAAAAACAGTTTGTATAATTTTATTTAATTGAAGGCTAGTTGGGCTAAGCATAGTTTGTCTGATTTGCCAACCTATATACTTAGGTAGGTTCAGGCGCGGATCCAGCGGGCGGCCACGGGGGCCCGTTCCCCCACCCTGTCAGTCACGCCGAAAAAAAAAAATGAGAAGAGTTAAAGGGAAGAAAGAAAGAGGGAAAAACGAAGTTTACCCATGAGTTCAGTGACGGATCTAGCAGAGGGCGAAAGGAGAGCTCGATTATTTTACCACTCACTAATTTTGAATTTTCTATTGATTGTCAACGAACACAACGCTATTATCCCCGACGCATCAATCAGGATGTAAACAGGCCAAAAGGCGGAGACCTAAAGACAGAGTTTTTTTAGCCGGAATGTAGTACCCCCAGCTATAGAACAGCTATCCATGCTCAGCATGGAGTAACACCTACGCGTTCTCGTGCTAAAATCCGCAGGCCACCGACCCTTTATACCGTAATGATTTTGATAAACAATCACAATTCTCTGTACTATCTACTAAACATTTAACGAATGAACTTCCTTGTGTTGCGGTCATATTATACTGTTATATTTTTTAAGAAGACCATTCATCAAACAACATAAAACAAAATTCCCACGTCGAAGCATGCATAAAAGGTACATTTTCCTGAAATTTGGAAATAGAGCGGACTTCCTTATGATTTTTCCTTATGTTGTGGTCATATTAGAATATAATATCACTAAAGACCATTCAACAAACAACATGAAACATAGGGCCTATATCAAACTTT